TTGGGGATTCTGACTCAGTAAGTGGGCCTACCGCCTGGGTGCATCTTTCGACAAGCTCTTCACATGACTCTGTTGTGCCACAATGTATGAGGACCAGTGTGGTACAAAACACAAGGGACTAACATGGAATAGGGCTGTAACTTAAGTTGGACCAACATCATGAAAAGCTTTATGCTAAACTAAGATATTTGGACTTAGTTAGCCAGTAAGATCTCACTGAAGTTTTTTTTGTTTTAACTAAAATTTTATGTTTTTAGAATAGGTAGTGCATACATGTAGTAGAAAATTCAAGAGGCCACCAAAGGGAATTCAATCTCCTTTCCACCTTTGACCCCTTAAGTCCCAGTCCCTCTAATCATTCAAGATTTTTAAAAAGAGAAATCAAATCACAAGAGCTATGTATTGGGAAAATGAACCAGATAGAAATATTTAGGTGAACTATATTGGAAGCAAGCACGACCCCAGTCACTGGTAATAGTGGGAATGAGAAGGAAAGGATGGATGCAAATTTCCGTGTTAACATAGGGCCTGGAACATAGCAGACACTTCAAATTATAACCTAAATGGATCCTCAATGCTATGAGTAAAGAATGACCAAAATGACTCCAAGGTTTAGAGGCAGGATGACTGAGAACTGAAAAGTGCAGGTAACATTGTTGAAACAAAAAACCAAGGTTCAGGAATGGAGAGGGAAGATGATATAGGTAGTTCTGAATTTGTTGAGTTGAAAATGATCATAGGCCATGCAAGTGGAAGCTTCTATCAGGTGGTTGGAAATATGATTTGGTGCTAGGAAAAGAAGTTGGGCGGTTGGGGTATAACTTTAAGAATTTTCTTTTCAATAGAAATGAGAATGATGAGGGGCACCTGGGTGGCTCAGTTAAGTGTCTGCCTTCGGCTCTGGTCATGATCCCAGGGTCCTGGGATCGAGCCCCGCATTGGGCTCCCTGTTCGGTGGGGAGCCTGCTTCTCCCTCTCCCGCTCCCCCTGCTTGTGTTCCTTCTCTCGCTGTGTCTCTCTCTGTCAAATAAATAAATAAAATCTTTAAAAAAAAAAAGAAATGAAAATGATGAAATAGCTAAGGAGGACAATGTAGAGGAAGATGATTAAGAGCAGAAAATTCAGAACTATCTACATTAGGGAAGCAAAGATGAGTGAAACCAGGAGAGTCAAATGTCATGGAAACTTAGGTAGGAGACATTAAGAAGGTAGGATTAATTAGGAAAAGAGGTCAAGGAGGATGAAGAATAAAAAAAAAAATTTCAGATTCTGTAATCAGAAAGTGGTCTGGGCCAGTGGGGGGATGGGGATGTGTGGAGAGAGCAAAAATCAGATAGCCAGGAAATAAGAAATGAGTAGGTGGTAAGGAAGTGAGTTTGGCAAGTGCCTTCTTTCTTGAGACGTCTGATGGTGAGAGATGGCAAGAGATGGAACAATAGGCATATGGGCAAAAAATGTAATATGAATGTGCACCCTAGAGCTGGCAACTCTGTAGCCTTCTTAGTGGGAGAAGCAGTGTCAACAGTTTTCAAGTAGAGGCAAGATATGAATACATTTTCAAGGAGAGAAGAAGGAGCCAGGAGGAAGAAAGAGAATAAAGGTACAAGACAGCTGATATGGGAAAGAAATGACACCTATCTTACAACTGGATTTAGAAAGGAAAGGAGGAAGGTGTTCCTCCTGACCCCATAAAGGGAGGGATGATTTGAGATATTTTGATGTGAAGGGAGAGTATATGGGTGTGACTGACAGCCTGTATTTTCTCAGGAAAGTAGGCGATCTAGTTGTCTCTCCTCAACAGAGAAACATTGCCTAGGTGAGGAACCCAAAGACCTAGACACGGGACCAATATAAAAATAGCTAGCTTTCCCACCCATTTCAAGTTTTTATTTAAATTCTAGTTAGTTAACATATATGGTAAAATTGGTTTCAGGTGTAGAATTTAGTGATTCATCACTTAGGTATAACACCCAGTGCTCCTCATAAGTGCCCTTCCTTAATACCCACCATCCATTTTGGCTAGCTTTTTTATTGAGCACATACTTTATGGTGGATACTTTATTTAATCTTTATAACAATGCTAAGGAGTAGGTACTATTATTCTTTCCATTTCAAAAATTTATGCCTTCCTAACCTGCTCTTCTTTACCCCCGATATCCCATTTTAAAATTTTTTATCTTTATCATAGGTAATGAGAAAGTGAAAAATCAGTTATTGGCATTTCTAATCAAATGTTTGAATTATTTGCAAAGGATACCCCAGAGAGGCAGGTGATTTGTCCTCAGAGCTCAAGTTTCTTGATGCCCCCACCCCTCAGAGATATCTACATCCTAATCCCTGTAACCTGTGAACACGTCATGTGAACATGGCAAAGGGAAATTAAGGTTACAGATAGAATTAAGGTTGCTAATCAGCTGATTTTGATATGGGAAGATTATCCTGGATTATCAGCGTGGGCCCAATGTATTCAAAAGGTTTTAATAAGTAAAAGAGGGAAGTGAGAGACAGAATCATAGAGATGGCAGCCTGAGAAAGACTCAACCAGCTGTTGCTGGCTTTGAAGATGGAGGAAAAGGGCCATCAACCAAGGAATTGTGGGTGGTCTCTAGAAGATGAAAAATGCAAGGAAATGGACTCTTCCCTAGAGCTGACAACCCCTTGATTTTAGCCCAGTGAGATGTGTATTGGACTTTTGGCCTATAGGACTGTCAGATAATAGATACGTGTTGTTTTAAGTAACTAAGTTTGTGGTGATTTGTCATAGCAGCAATAGGAAACTGCAGGTAACTTTCCAGCTGTTATGTCATGCCCTTTCTCTTCAGACCCCAGGTACTCTTCCCCTACTCTCAAGGATTTGACAGTTACATCTTAGTGTTTTGTTGATTTACCACTTACATCTTAAGTCCTTTATCTAATAGATTCTATCTATGTAAAGAATGTGTACTTTGTTAAAGAAATTTAGCAACAAACAAGTAGATGGAGAGCAACGTTTTGGGGAAGGTGAACGATCACAATTTCCACTCAATTCTTGGAGCTAAAAATCTATTCATCCTGCACTGGTCAACCTTGACCACAGTGAATGGTAAGATTTTGAGTGTTTGATAATCGTTTTTTATTCTCTTCCCTTCTAAGGACGCCTTTTTTCCTGACCTAAAATGAGTTGTATTATTTACATATAAATATTCTGTGCCAGCCTTGTTTAATCATATACACGAAAAGGACTTGGCTGTTTTTTAAATTTAATTTTGTTAACTTGCTAATGTTCCTCATTAAGAAATTAATATTTACAAGCAGTAGAGATGAGCATGGTCCTCTGTTTTGCAAGGAGGAACTTCAGAATTCTGCTAATGTGAGAAGGGGAAGTAAACTTACCGGATTTTTATTCTATCTCTGCTAGTGTGCATTACAGCTGGAAGTAGTTCAGGTTAGCCAAAATCAGGGACTGAAGAGAGTTCAGAATTTTCTCTCACTCTACAGAGATCCTAATATTTCACAAATCCTTCTCTACCTGCACTACGTTGATATGTTTTTATTCTTTCTCAGCAACTTTTCAAGTGGTGTCCTTCACATTGGTTTCCGCATGACACATTCCTGAGTACTATAAAGTTGGGTGGTAATCATTGTTTGAATTCCTTTTTCCTGGACGTAAAGAGGCTTATCTTTAGGCTACAAAGCCTCCCTTTCGGAGGGCTTACTCAGCCTTACAATTTAGTACGTTCTGAGTATGCATAAATGGGTTCCTAGTGTACAGCGGGTCAGAAACGTTCCTCTTACTGGGAAGCCCTCGGTTTCCACTGGATGAAGACTAAACTTTCCTCTTTTAGGGGCAGGGATTTTTGCTTGTCACCAAAAGCCTTCCTTTCCTCTGTCACATCTCCAAGTGGGGACTCTATCGCCGTTTGTCCACGACCCTGACGCACAAAGTCACTGGGGAAATGGCAGCAGGCTGGCAACAAGGACAGCCAGTTGGACTTCCCTGAAGGCTCAAGTCCAGAGGGATACCCGGGACCTACAAGCGTTTTTCAGGATGGCAGACACTGTAGGAGCGCGGGGGTGGGGATGCCCCAGGGGTCCGCTCGGCAGCCCTAGGGATCCGCAGGATGCGCTCTTGGCCGGGAAGGACCCACAAAGCTCGGGACCTCAGCTTGGGTTGGGACTGGAGCCGCCCTAGTCGGCAGTCTAGAGGATAAGCTACCTTGAGATAGAAGCAACAGCGACCGCCGTCAGCTTTGCTTCCAGCTAACTAGCCTTTCGCCGCTAGCGCAGCGGAGCAGCTTCCGGTTTCCAGGCCGCCCCACAGGCCCAGCCCTGGACTCGGTCTTCCTCCCCCCGCAGCCCAGTTCCTCCTCCCGGCCCTGGCCCCGCCCCCTGCCCTAGTCCTCCTCTCCACGCTGAGGCCTCGCCTTGCCCCTCCTCCCCACCGATTAGGCCCCGCCCCCTGGCCCCTCATTTCCCCCTCCTCCCCTCCCCCCGTTCCATTTAATTGTTGGATTGTCAGCGCTGCACTCCCGCTGGCAGCCGACAGGGGGCAGAGTTCGAGCTTGGATTTTTTTTTTTTCCCCCCCCGCCGGGCGTCCCCAGGGAGGCAGTCGCGGAGTGGAGGAGGGGAGGGCGGGGCGCGAGGACGCGGTTCGGTCGGCTGCTGCGCTACTTTTGGTCCCGGCTCGGCGGGGAGGCCGCGGCTGCCGCATCAGAGCTGACGTGGGGCGACGTGGTGCCGCCGCCGGCGCCGGGTTGCTGGGCGGCGGCGCCGCTCCTGAGCGGCGGTCGGGCTCGCGGTCTCCACCTCCTCCCGTCCGTAATCAGTGACGAGGTCCGCTACGTAAATCCCATCGCGGCGGGTAAGTGGCGCGCCGGCCCCGGACCCAGAGACCTCGGACCCGGCGACGCGGCGCAGGAGGCGGAGGCAGGAGGCGGAGCGGAGCCGGGTCAAAGGGTCGGGGGTGTCGGGGCCCCGGAGCGGGGGCGCGGGGGCTCCGGGGCCGAGGGGAGAGCGGGGAGAGCGGGAGCTGCGCGGCCGGAGGCGCCGACCCCGAGGCTTCCCCGCGGCGCGGCGGCCGCTCCCGTCTCCCGCTCCGCTCGCGGATTGCCTTCGGGCTAGTGGCAGAGCTCTCCCGAGCGGGAAGCGGACTCCTCTGCTCTCCCTCCCTGACTCCTTTTGAACTTGGTACAAGTTGGACAAGTCTTTCGGAAAAAGCCTTACTGCTTGATGAGTGTGGTCCTCCCTCTTTGAGAAGAAAAAGGAACGAGAAGTAAGGACGTTGGTTTTATTTACCACAGCCGACGATTAGTAGCACCTTTGTCTCAATTTTATGTACTCCGTTTAGATATAAATCAGCGTTAACCCATTTCTCCGAAACATGAGTCGGGGACACAGGTGTTGAGTCACTTTAATCCCCAAACACGACAGAGCTGATCAAATAGTGCGAAGACTTTTATAATAGCTGCGAAGAAGGAACAAAACCGTGATAGCTGATAGAAATTGCAGTCTCTCTTGTTCTTTACTTTTGATTTGTGCCTTTTTAGAACCCACCTAGCAAGGTTCCCAGAACATGCTGAATAGAGAATAGACACATTATTCAGCATAGTTCTTTATCCTCCTGCCTACTGCACGTAGACCAGATCCCTAACTTTAAAATCGCTGAGACGTTTCCGGCACTGCGCTCAGTAAAGCAGCTGTCAATTGACGATCAAATTTTCAGCACTTTTGACTTACAGGAACAGCCTGAAGATCTGACTAAAACTGAGAGAGCCCCTTTTAACAGTACCTCTTAGGTATGTAACTTCTTAAAATTTCTTCCTTTCAAGCCTAATTCGGCGGGCTGATAAGAGTGCAGCCACCTTCCCTTTAAATAAATATAAACCTAGATGCACGGCGATAGAGATCCGGTATGAAAATTGTATTAGATTACATTAATAATTCATGTTCTCTGTTTTTTTCCTTTGGGTACCACATTTTTCTCCTACTCTTGGTCCTATTTTTGGATAACAAGCTGCTTTCCCTTCATGGTTTTTAAATCTTTGAACTTTTTTCTCCCAAGGAAGTTAAATTGCAAAGGGTGTTTTGGCTAATAAAAACTAAGTATTAAAAAAATGTTTAAAGAACTGTTTGCTGATCCAGATACAACTTTTAGATATTTAAATGGGTTTGATCCTGAATGAGTGAACACTTAAAGCATTGTCTTATTAATTGTTGATAATTACACAAACATTTTTGGTATGAATCTGTAAATAGATCAGTGTAAGCAGATGCTTTCCCAGTGACTTGCTGGTCAACCTGGAATCATTTGGTGAGTGTGAAGTTGTAATTACACTTATGTTTTGTGTACATATCTTGTAAGAGTATATGAATAAATTTTTATTGGATGTATAAACACAGAGGAGCTCTTCAGTCTTTGTTTTTGCTTTGTCCTGGAAGGTTAATGAAATTTTGCTTCTACTGATGAATTCAAGAAACTCCAGACTCCATAGACCACTTTAGTTTCCTACTGAGGCAAGTTATTGCATGATTAAAATGTGAAATCTTTTTTAGAATTCCATGAAAAGTAGGGAAGAGTTTCAGGTTATAAACACACATAAAGAATCCTGACTGAAACTTGACGAGTACGTACATATTTCTGATCTGTTTTCCCTAACTTGATATTCTCTGCAAGTTAATATTGGGCCAGAAAATTGAGCCAGGTTTATTGTTGATGTAGTAGTCCATTGGAAAGCACTCAAATGTCCTGTTCCATTTAGATAGACTTTTGAAAGTAAAACTGAGCAATGCAAACACTTCACAGCTGAACCACTGATATTTTGACATGCAGTCAACATTGGTCATTAAGGAAGTAAGCCTGAAATGTCTTTGAATTCTGTTAAGTATTTCTATTTTATTGAACTAATGGATTCCATATATAAAAGTCAACTTTGAGAAGTTATTGTACATTGAATGCAATTTTAACATTATCAATACAGATAGATCATAAAAGTAAAAATTTCAGGGAAAATGTTTTTTATCCATTACACACAGGTAAAAATAAACATTTTAAATCATTTTGTTAATTTCCTTTTAAAGAATATTTAAGATTTTTAAAATACTTTCTACCATGAGAACTGTTTAATAAAGAGTACACTGTAAGAGTAAATCCTTTCACTCATGGGTTTTCTTTTTCTAACGTGTTAGGATATCCAGTAGAGAATAAGAGGGAATGAAAAGGAAAACTTAAGGATAACACTAGTGGGATTTTATCTTGATACTACTCATGAAGACAACTTGAGTCTTACTGGTATAATTCCGTTACAGCGAAGTTTAAAAATTACAGTATCTATCTTGCACATCTTTTTTTTTTTAAATCTTGCACATCTTTTGATTGGCTTTCCCAGGAGTGTTAGAGGAAATTGTTGGCAAGGGGTATATAAAACAGTTTTGAAGAAGAACATAGGCTAGGAAGTTATGTGGGAGTTTTGCTTAAAGACTGATGGAATAACTGTCTGACTGGTAAGGGAGGATACTTGCCTCTTAGAAAACCTTACTAGCAGCTCTTTTGTGAGGCTCTTTTGAAGTACCCAGTTCTCCCAAAGTGGGAATCATCTTCAGGCGTATTTTCTGAGCAGTGATAGAGCCAGACCCATTAAATGTCGGTCGTGTGAAATCCTAACGACAGAGCTCGTGTGATTCTGATAATTTGAGAATTTCCCAAAACCAGTTTTTTCAAAGTTATCTTCTTGAAGCTCTTGTGTTTTTTAACACAGTGGACTTAAAATGAGACCATCCTAACTCTTGTCATAGTTGTTGTTGTTTTTTTTTAAGATTTTATTTGTTTGACAGACACAGTGAGAGAGGGCACACAAGCAGGGGGAAGCAGCAGGCAGAGGGAGAAGCAGGCTTCCCGCTGAGCAGGGAGCCTAATGCGGGGCTCGATCCCAGGACCCTGGGATCATGACCTGAGCTGAAGGCAGACGCCTAACGACTGAGACACCCAAGCGCCCCTGTGGCATACAGTTTTGTTCATAATCTCAAATAACCTCAAGTTTTTTCATTGATAGCACAGAAATTATTTTTTTGCTTTGAAATGTCTTAAAGTGGAATTTATATTCTAGCATTGATATTATAAAAGCTTCTAGCTCAGGTATTAGAGAAACTGAATCATGCATAAAGACCTATGATACTGTATATGGACAGTTGGGATGCTTTCACTCCTTTTAAAATTGATGGAAGTGTTAAAATTAACCTATTTAAGCATGTTTCTGGACTTAGAGAGGTAGTTGTTTTGTTCATATACACACAATAGGACCAATCTAGGTAAGTATAATAACGTTGAAATTCATTTCTCTGAACTTTAGCTAATTCAAGTGTCTTATCTACTCTTTTCCAGATTTATTAGTTAATAGTCACTAGAGTTGTACTTTGTGTAGGTAAGTGTTTTGAAATGTACTTAAAATGCAGTAATGAAATACAATATTGAACAGGAAAACCCAGCAATGACTCCAGTCAAGCAAATAACCCACAGAAGATTTTAAATTTTGTTTCCTTCCATGAAGTGGTGGTGGTGGTGGAGAGGGTGGTATTTGGAGAGGTGGAGATAGGCCATGATTATTTGAATTTTATTTTTCATTTCCTCCTTACCAGCCAATTTAGCTGTTCATTGACTGTAAAATAGCCAAAAGCAGGTGCCAGGTGGGGAATGAATTGAGAAAGAGATGCTGAAATAGTTAATCCTTTGATGATTTTTATAAAGTGTTAAGATTTCTTAAATAATAGGTATCTGAGGCAATTAAATTGGAGTGGCCTTGGCTCTATTAAAAGTCACCTGATTTTCTATATGATTCATGTTTAATTAAGGACATTATTGGCGGGCGCCTGGGTGGCTCAGTCGTTAAGCGTCTGCCTTTGGCTCGGGTCATGATCCCAGGGTCCTGAGATCGAGTCCCACATCGGGCTCCCTGCTCGGCGGGCAGCCTGCTTCTCCCTCTCCCACTCCCCCTGCTTGTGTTCCCTCTCTCGCTGTCTCTCTCTCTCTCTGTTGAAAAATAAATAAAATCTTAAAAAAAAAAAAAAGACATTATTGGCATGGGTCTCAATTATTTATAAGTACTGCTCCTGGCTACTTCTGTTTTTACACAACAGTGTAAAGAATATTTGAAAGTTATTCTAACTTTGTTTCACAATGATTACAAAACTAAAAGTGGTATAATTTCCTGTCACTACTCTCCCACTTTGTTTCTCCTATACTCCTTTCCTTCACCTAAATGCACAGTAAGCATAGGCTCATCCCTGCCAACTTCAGGTATTTGGCTCTTTGGAATTACTTCTCTCTTCTACCCAGCCCTGCCTTCTCCCTAGTTTTTAACTGATGTGATTGAAAAGAACCAGCTCTGTATGCACTTCATATTCTTCCCTTATCTTTCAAATCTTACTCGCTAGTGTTATCTAAATCATGATTAACCTCTGAACATCTACTTTCCTAAGGAACTAAAACCTTGCTTCATCCCGGAACCAGAGAAATAGATATACTTTTCTGTGGTCTCATTCTCTTCCTGCTTCCATGAGAGGTGTATTGCCTTTTATTCCACATTCTTTCTTTTTTTTTTTTTTGACTATTCTAATTGCAACGTGGGTTTTTTTTGGTAGTTTTGTTTTTGTTTTTGTCCCCCCCCCCTTCCTGCAAAAACTATCTCAATGCATAATTTACAATTTCCATTTTTGGGTTCTTGAAAGTAGAGCAAGAACTTAGGTTGTTTTGCAAGTGTCTTTGTAAAGAACTCTACATATTTGTCATATTTCCCCAACATTTTATAGATTTTTCCAACTGTAATATCTAGCCCCAAAGCAGGATTTTTAAAAAGCAGCCTGCCTTTATTGTCTTTCCAAAGTGGTCAACTTAGTTTTCACAGAAGCTGCTCTTTAAATCTATTTAATAATTTAACATGCTATTTTTAACAGAATTCCAAAATTACAACAGTAAGTGTAGCTGGCATAATCAAGTTAGGTGATAAATACGACTATTGCTAAGCATCCACCACAGCTGTTAGAAACAGAAGTGCTTGGGAACACTAGAGAAGGACTGTGGGCATTAGCTATACTGTAGGTTTTATAGAAGAAATGGAGAACATTGGTTCATACAGAGTTGGTTGGGGACGAGCAAGTTGGTTAGGTAAGCTTTTATATTCTAGTAAAGTTGCCCAAGAAGTTTGATTCTTTTTTTTTTTTTTT